TTAAGCAGGAGCCAGTGCTGTAGGCCTGTGAATAGCAGCGTGCGGCGAAGCAGAGCTGCAGCAAGGAGAGCTGGATAGAGATGTTAAGTAACGGAGATCAGGACGCCTCAGCCGCATCAGGAGCTGGAATCCTAGCTACAGGACAAGGGTTTCCCCCTCTCCCCCACCAGCCAGGGATATTAGAGGCTGGGGCTTAAGCAGGAGCCAGTGCTGTAGGCCTGTGAATAGCAGCGTGCGGCGAAGCAGAGCTGCAGCAAGGAGAGCTGGATAGAGATGTTAAGTAACGGAGATCAGGACGCCTCAGCCGCATCAGGAGCTGGAATCCTAGCTACAGGACAAGGGTTTCCCCCTCTCCCCCACCAGCCAGGGATATTAGAGGCTGGGGCTGGGATCAGCCATCCTTTCTGGAGAGGAGGACTCGGAGACACACACACGCTCAGGCTGGGGCTACTGCATTTGGGGGGGATGTTCTCCCCCTCCAACACAAGCTGGTGCCTTGGTGGAAGGCAAAGCAAATGCCCTTCTGACCAGGGTGGCAAGGGGGAGGAGACCTGCTAGAGGAGAGGGTCCTGTTAAGAAAGGCAGATCCTGTACTACACTGTTGGAAGGACCAAGGGAGCACACGAAGCAGCTGCAGACTTAACCCGGAGGGAAGAATCTGGCATCCTGACCCTGACCTCTATGGAGTTTTGAAGGGACTGCACATTGCTCAGGTAAGAGGGGAGCAAAGCGAGTAGCACTGGGGGCTATTGTGCTAGGGCTGCTGGAGAAGGTGGCTTATTTTAGTTGTTTCATGCTGAAAGCAAGTAAACAGCAGATTCTTTGCAAAAATGTGCTAGGGCTGCTGGAGAAGGGGGTTTATTTTAGTTGTTTCATGCTGAAAGCAAGTAAACAGCAGATTCTTTGCAAAAAGTGATGTCTATAAGGCTACTGGGGAGAAGCAGGAGAGAACGGGTTACAGCGATTACCAGGGCCAGAGGATTATTGACAAAGTTTCACTTTGCCAATAAACTGCTCCTTGGAATGAGGAATCTGCTCTGTTATCTTCCCCCATTTGCCATATGGGAGACGCTTTAAGGACCTTATTAAAAATACAGAGTGTGACAAAGGATGAGCAGACAATTGCATTTCCACTCATTGTTGTCCCCCTAAAAAAAACCCTGCCTCCTGCCCCCATGCTGGACATGACCCCAGAATCTGTTTCTATGTCTCCAAGCTAGGAATGGGGAAAAGCAAAGAGACAAATTTTGTGTTAATCTATAGTGAGTGTTTCATGCTGTCTGTGCAATGAAGTTATAAACCAATTCCTGTGAGCACCCCGGCTCAGAAGAGGTTAAAGATCCTTTGCAAGGAGGTGTTAATAATTCTATTATTGACAGTGATTTCTCACCATATTCTGCTGGTTTCAAAAGGGCTCCTAGACTTGGAGAAGGGGGGGGGATGGAAGGAGGAAACAATCTCTCTCCTATACTATGTGCAGGAACATTCGCAGCATGGGAAATTGGGAGAAAGCTGCTTATCCTTCCAAATGAACTTTCCTGATTCATTCTGCATCTGGAGCTGACAGCTTCTTAATATATTTGTAACATGTATGTAGAGAAAAAAGGGTGACAGGGCAGTCAGATAATAACATGAAGGTTACCTTGAGCTGAAGATTAAAAAATAAATAAAAGGAAGCCTACGCGTCTTCCAGCCAGGCACGATGTAGTGAAGTGTCTCTGCAAATGAGTAAGTACATTCATGGTTCAAACAAAAATATTTGGGCAAACTTTGGAGAGGGGAGAAGACTGAGGTGAGGTGGGAGGGTGGTACATTCTAGAGCAGAGGGCAGAGCTGTTTAAAAAACTGGCTGGAAGCATGAGATATATCTGCTACATTCCAGTGACCCCTCCAGTTCGTATTGCTCCTTCTTGCACCACTGGCAGCTGTAAACTCTCCACCTGCTAGTTTACTCTGGTCCAGTTATTTTAACAAATCATGAACACGGACTTACAGGGGCCACCTCTCTGGAAGCATCATCCCCAACTTAATCCCTTTGCTCTGGTGCTCATCAGAGTCTTTCCCTCTAAGTTGTACAGGCGTTTTTCTGAGCTGGTTTTTAAATAGGCAGCCCTGTTTGAAGGGTTACTGAAAACAGCAGCTTGGCAAGCTGAATGGTGATTGACGGGCTGGTTCTCCATTCTTCTGCTATCCCTCAATTTTAGCCTCTTGTTATTCTGGGTTTGCATTTATGACAAATGCAGTTCGGTGCTCAGAAGAGGACAAAAACCATGTTGGGAAGGGCCCAGGGAGCCAAAAACCACAGTCTCATAGAAATGTGAAGAAGAAGATCTTTTTCACCCTCTGCAAATACTAGGTTGTCTCTATGTGTCAAGTATAGTGTTAAATGTCTTGGCCACTTGCCTTGTCTTTTGCATTCTGCATTCAAGGTCCCCAGAAAATCATATACAATCCCTGGCCCTCTTTGCTCCCAGCAAGGGCCTGAGATGTGGGGCATCTTCTCTGAAAGGGTGAAGTGCTGCTGTTTTCACTCCAGTCCAGATTTCCTTTGACTTCAAGAGGAGGTTTGCCTGAGACAGAGCTGCAGGAGGTGGCACTGTAGCCAGGGCTAGTCCAAGAAGCACTAAGGCAAGCTCCGGTGGTTTGGGCTGCTCTGAGACTGTTTCTGCGATGTTACAGTTGTTCTCCACACAGAGAATGTGTTTCAGGTAGGGTGGCCAGGTGTCCGGTTTTGAACTGGACAGTCCAGTATTTGAGCTTTCTGTTCAGGAAACAAATTGCGAAAATAGAAATGTCGGGTCTTTTCTAACTAAGATGGAATGTTGATTGCGATGTTATGTCAAGTGTGACTGGTATTTTTTTTGAAACCATCTGGCAACTCTAGTTTCAGGTCTTGTGTGTATAGTCCACGCCAATGTTTTTAGCCTTAATCAATTGCTGCCAACTAGGAATCAAGGGGTTTCATGTTCTCTGCCATTTGCCGTCCCCAGTTCACCACAGGCCCTGCAACTTACCCATGTGCTACAGCCGGAGCTGGAACCCACTCTCACTGCTCAGTAGAAAAGTGACCAGTTTCCTCCCACTTTGCAGTGGGGAAGTAGAATAACACCTCCAGAAGCACAGGTTGACAGTCTGTAATGCGAGCGGAGGCATGTTGGCAGGGATGTGCAATTTCACATTTCACAGGATCAACTTTTCTGATGGCGAACAAACAGTTTCCATTTCTGATCTTCGTCAGGCCTTGTATTAATTTGCTAGCAGCCTGATTCTGTTCTCAGAATGGTGTCAGTCTGGAGTAACTCCTTTGAAGTGAATGGAAAGTTGGTGCAAATGAGGTATCAGAGTCACCCCTGGACTCCTCTTTAGCGACTGGCAGCTGTTGTGTTAATGACCAGGTTGGGAGCATTAACATGTTACCCTGGGGTGTAGTAAGGGAGCAGATTGGCTAGTGCATGCATATGTTTTATATGGCTAGACACACTCCTTGCTTCACTAGATTTGAGGTTGCATCAGGGCCTGGCCACCAGTCCAGCTGCTTGCATTGGCTTGTAAAAGTTAAAGGCACTTAACTTATTAGTGAGGAGAGAAAACTTCTGGCACAATCTTGACAGAGCTGATAATTGGAGGTGAGTGACTAAATTTGGATCCAGATCTGTGTCTCCACATTTTCTGAAAAAACTTAAAAACAACGAATGGTCCTGCAGCACCTTAGAGACTAATAAAAACGCAGATGGCACCATGAGCTTTCGTGGGCACAACCCACAATCTGCTGCTATGGGGTGTGTGTGTGTGTGTGTGTGCGTGCGTGCCAGGAAGTCAGCTGATATGGGTTGAACCCTCCTGGATTAGCATTCCTGGACATGCTCATTTTCCAAAGTGCATAATCCATGCAGCCCGAGCATCGCTGGCTGCCTGGCTATAATTGCCAAATGCTCTAAAGTGATGTTTTTTCAGCTACTTAATTTTGGACAGTGCTGCTCTGTAGCAACTCACAGCGATTCTCTAATGCACACTGCTCTTTCCCATTCCATTCTCCCAGCTCCTCTTTGCAAGAAGCCCGAATTTAATAGGAATTGCTGAATACATTCACAGATGCTAAAAGCTCAGATATACATTGATTAAGTGCATGGGGCAGGGGGAGGGAAAGCGGGCAGCCCAAAATGCAGTGCAACGCGTTGGCATAAAGATTTCTAATTAGAATGAATTTGCTTTGCTTAAATAAACAAATCAGAAAAAGAAACTGTCAGTTGCTAAGCACCCCTCTGGGTCTCTTCCCACCTCCTTCTACAAAGGATCCACTACAACTCTCAGGTGGTTCAGACAGGCAAGCAGGGCTTGAATACCCCCGGTGAGTGCAAATTGGCACCTCTTTGTATCTGAAGAGCAGCTGCTGACAAGGAGAATTCACTCCCTGGGGGAACCCAGCAACAACATCTCTGTTGCCTTCTGCCTGGCTAGGAGCAGCTTTCATCTCCAGCTAGACCCACCTGGTGAGCTGCTGAGGAGATGCAGTGATATAATTGTTCCCTGTCATGCACATAGTTGCTTTGTGCATTGTGTAAATCGGCTTCAAGGTCCCTACAAAACAGGGGTTACTCTGACTCCTTTCCAAACACAGTTCCCACTCTCAGAGGCCTCCAGCTGTGATGGAACTCAGGCAGAGAATCTGGTCTCTTGTCTAGAGTTATTAAAACAATCATCGTTTATATTAGTGCCAGCCTGGGGTCCTATGAAACTCCACAGATCCTGCTGTCTCCCCACTGAATAGATAGCAGGTTTAAAACAAATAAAAGGAAGTTTTTTCTTCATGCAGTGCACAGTCAACCTGTGTAACTCCTTGCAGACCTCGTTGTGCAGACCAGGACTTTAACAGCGTTCAAAAAAGAGCTAGATAAATTCATGGAGGGAGAGTCCATCAATGGTTATGAGCCAGGATGGGTAGGAATGGTGTCCCTAGCCTCTCTTTGTCAACAGCTGAGTGACAGGAGAGGGATCACTTGATAATTACTGGTTCTGTTCATTCCTTCTGGGGCACCTGAGGACATTGGACACTGTACGATGACTGGACTAGATGGACCTTTGGTCTGACCCAGTATGTACTTACCTAGATATCCTTCTTTCTCTGTTTCCATATAGCACCACAGCGTGCAACCTTTTGGTGCAAAAATAGGACTCCCTGGGAAGTGTTTGTGGCCAGAGTTTGTGGAATGCTGTAAGAGGTGAAAGTTGAACTCCAGTGGATTTCAGGTGCTTTGTTCATTTAGAGAAGAATATGTTCAACATTCTAACATGCAGGAGCCCGGCATGGGAGACACACGGAACGGCTCCCCTCTGTCCCTGTTAGCTTACATGGGTGGGCAGGGTCCTTTTGCAGTTCTATCCCTGGTGCGAAGCACAGGAAGTAATAGAAGGCTCTGTGGTGGCCTCAGATTTGTTACTATATATGTAAGAAAGAATTTCTTTTTTTGTGTGCAAATCACACCCTCTTTCTCTTCATGTCATATCTCAATTAAATACATTTTAAAACTACACATTCATTAGCAAAATAACCAATTAGACCACTCATCAATATGTCATTGTGAGGGATGGCTTCTCCTTTCAGGTTCACATACCATCAAATCTTCTACTTCATCACTATCGTGAATCTCTTATAACAACAAAAATACTGGGCATAAACTAGACTCACACTTACAACTGTCCTTAAACTGAGGGCAACTTGACATCTTGTTATATCTTTTACCTGAGAGTTGTAGCCAGAATACTCTTTTTTAAAAAGAAAACCTATCCTATGAGAAATTCTTCTGCTGCTTGATTTAGTTTTAAATACACTGATAAAAATAACATCTTCTGCTTGAAATGGGATTTTGGCTTGCACCATGCTGTGCATAATCCTAGATTACTGACCTCTGGGGAAGGACTGTGTCTGAGAACTGGAGAAGTGTGGTTTTATGGGTGTGATTAGTTTTGTCTCTTTTACACTTGGAGATTCCTGGGGATTAATTGGAGACATAACTCAGTTGACCTTCACACACAGTCTTAAGGAGGAGCATTTCAATGATTACTGAAAGGGATTTATCATTTACCTGGTAGGAAGCTGAATTAACCTTCCAAAATTTTCTATTGGAACTTCCATTAAATGGCTTATTCTCCTCCCTGAACAATAAAGTCCAGTTCCCCAGATTGTTCAAGGTCTACCCAACAAAACAATTCTGTTTTTAGCGGCACATTAGTGGCTTGATTTAAAATGTGGACGAAGTCCAGCAAGGAGTCTTAAAGGGAGTGCCACAAATTATACAAGTATTTTGTCATCAGTTTCTTATTGGTGTTTATAAAGCATGCATCAGATCCATTGTTGGAATAAATTGTCAGAGGTCAATTGATGGTCCTATCACAATTGACATCAGCCCAGGTTGTAGCTCAGTTGTTCTCAAACTTTTTGGCCTGCTCTGTCCAATGAAGACCTTTCTGTGGCTCACCAGCCAACCATCCATGGTGACAAAATGGGTGCAAGAGGAGGTGGGGGTGCAGGGTCTGGGAGGGAGGTTGGATGCAGGAGTGGGCTGAGGGTGTGGGAGCCTGGGTGCAGGAGTGGGCTGAGCCAATGGGAGCGGAGGAGAAAGCCTCCACATGAGCAATTCCATATGCTTCCATCTCCCCAGTCACTTCCTTCCCTTGTGAGGCTCAACCTCACTGACCCCCTGCAGTGGGAAGCTGGCGCTGGTACACCAGTCTTACATGGTGGGCAGGGCTGGAGTCCTGAGCCCATGGCTCACAGGCAGAATGGTCCACAGACCACACTTTGAGAACCACTGATTTAGCTGCATGTGTGTTCTCCATAGAACCATCTAAAAGAAAAACAAGCTTCTAGGTGTGTGTTATAGGAATACAGGGGTATTTTGTAAGACTCTGCCCTTGACTTTGTCATGTTTTTCATCACTGAGACAACTGCCAGAATTTTGTATTTACAAATCTGGAGCATTAAGGGTGTTTGTGTGCACTGTGGGGGGAGTTGCACTAAATAACACTGAGGTCCTGCACAAATAACCCCCAAATCGCTCTTTTCCTGGAGAGAGGAAGGAACTTTTAAGGCTTCAGAATTCCATTTGGATAGTTGCAGTCAGAAAGCAAGAGATTTGCAGGGAATGGTGCAGTGGCTCAGAAGCCAGCTATGTGTCCAATCCATTAACTCAGAAACAGGAATAACAAGCCAGGCTGCTACAACCTCCATTTTTTAGCTCTATTTGACTGTATTTTTACATTCCCTGCCCTCAGTTAAAGGTCCTGGACACACTCTCTCTCTCTCTCTCTTCTGCAGCCTTCTAAACACAAGCAGGCTGCTGGCCCAGCAAAACAATGTCATGGGGGGCAATGGAGCCACGCTCCTAGTAAAAAACCAAATCTATTTCCTTCACCCCGGCGATACTAGCAGTACATCTGTGTGTTCAGCTTGCTGCTATAATCATGTGTCAATTCCACTCTGAGGGCCAGATTCTCCCCTTTGATTTGAGTCTTTTGAGCCTTTCTAGAGATTCAAGCAAGGGGATCAGCAAGCAGCCAGCTCTTTCTACCCACGGGTTCGTCAGGTGTCCTGCCCTTCCTGCTGCTGGCATGAGAGTGGTGTCATGTCTGAAGGGAGAGGTTCACTGTGCTACAGTGTTCCCAGCTGATGAGCCATGGCCAGCTGGTGTGCAGAGAAGTCCTGAGACACAGAAAGCCCCCCCTCATCTGGGAACTACAAGCAGCTGCTTTGAAGTCTGCTACTCAGTCGGCCTGGGATGAGGGATGGAACCTTGTCCATAAAAGGCACAGGAGAAGCCTGCAGAGCATTGATATAGGAAGCTCTCCCCCACAACACTCAACATGTTAACAGCTGATCCAACTGACCAAAGGTACTGGGGTTTCCCCCCCCTCACATTTTCTTTAAGGCTGAATTACTATCAGTGAGTCTGAAATTGCTTCTGTCAATGTCTCAGATAGGCCAGGCGGTAGAAGGTGAAAATATCACTCCTAGTACGCCTGGCACTGTATAATGCTAAAAGCTGACTGACCCTTAGCTAAGGCTGCAGAGCAGATGTCCCTCTCCCGTCTCAGTGCCTCTGGGTTTCACTAGGTTAAGAGCATCCAGCTAGTTCCACTCTGCGTAACAAAGACCAGACTCTAAATAATGAATCCAATGGGAGCGTTGGCCCAATATACCTTGGATAAGGTATACACCTTCAATTATCAAGTCATGTCACTTCCTGCCTCAGTCCCCCCTTCCATAACATGATAGTGACCTCCACTGTAAAGCACTTTGAAATTTGTGGATGAAAAGGTCCAGGCAAGAACTCAGTATTGTTATCACTTTGAGTATCCAATATCTGATACAGGTCCAAGCTATTCTGAGTGGGTTCTGTCACTTAGGAATTGCCAACTCTTCGCATTAAGAAATCATGGGTCAGGCCCCTGAAAATCTTGACATTGGCTTTAAAATGATGAATTTTTAAGAAATTGGTGCTCACTTTATTCATTTTCTGATTTTTCAACCATTCAGATGCGCCTGTGTCATGTTTTAAGCTTTGCTGGTCTAGAAATGTCCTTTATTTAAAAAGGCAGCTGAGTGGCTCACCTTGTCACATGATTCTAGGCACTTGAACTTTCTGAAAGACATCCCATCTCATGTGGCTTGTGGTGGAACAGCAAGAGTTGGCAGTGCTACTGGAGGATAGGTCACACGAATTGTTGCAGAAACACAGTTCCCAATATAAAATTGCAGTGCAAGTGTTTTCCCCTCCGTTGTCAGGTGGGTCACAGGTGCTGGTAGGAGCACGAGGCTGTGGAAAAGAACCGGAACAAAGTGTTCTTTTGGGAGGTAGGGCCACTTGTATCCAGTGATAGAAGAGGGAGGTGTTGCTGAATGCTCTGGCTGCATTCAAGTTTTGTTGGCTGTTTAGACAGCACAGTGCAAGATGTGTATGGTCTGAAGAGAAACCAGACTATTTAGACAGCAAATAATAAGACAATAAATATCCTAATGACACTGTATACATCCATGGTATGCCCATTTTGTTTGTCCCATCTCTAAAAAGATATATTAGAATTGGAAAAGGTACAGAGAAAGGCAACCAAAGTGAACAACTTCTGGATGGAAAGGGGATGACAAAGCTGGATATGGAGGTCGCTGGTGTGGAGAAAGTGAATACAGAAGAGTTATTTATTCCTCCACATAACACAAGAAACAGGGACCATCCAATGAAATTAAGAGGTTGCAGATTTAAAGCACCTACAAGGAAGCATTTCTTCACACAACACACCTGTGAACTCATTACCAGGGGCTGTTGTGAAGGCCAAAAGTAGAACTGGGTTCCAAAAAAGAATTAGATAAGCTCATGGAGGACAGGTCCATCAAGGGTTATTAGACAAGATGGCCAGGGATGTAGACCCATGCTTTGGGTGTCCCTCGGCTTCTGACTGCGCAACAAGAAAGGGATCACTTTGATGATTCCCTGTTGTGTTCATTCCCCATAAAGCACCTGGCTTTGGCCACTGTGGGCAGATACTGGGCTAGATGGATCA